ATACCAATGCAATCAGACTCGTTCTCAAACACACTTTTCATGCATGTAAACAGCAGCACAGTAGACTGGCGACATGCGCCCACTCAAAACTCAGAGATATGGCTTCTGGATACGAGTTCACTTTTAACTGGCTATGGCGACTTCAGCGCCCACACACCTCACTGTTCACACACACACTGGATCACCATGGATATCCCACACGCATCACTCTAACACTCGAACACACACACCCGCTACTAACTACAGCTATGGCAGCTATCTCTGCCTCTAACCGATCGCTATACTAACTCCTCCTCTGCTGCCCGTTGCGTCCTCCGGGCTCATCTGCAGACCTCCTTGCACAAGTCACTGTGGCAGCGCTTCCGCATGGCTCACACAGGAATGAATGAATGGCTGGGCACTGCCTCTTGATTTATACTTCAGAAACTCGTTGGTCTGCCCTTTGCCATCGGCCCATGGTGCTCACAGTCCCCCCGTGGTACTTGCTGGACCGGACTGGGACTGACCGGACCTTCCGCTGATTGACTGTGGACTCACCGCTATCCTACCGACATCGTACTGCTATTGCACTGCAGTCTAGTCCACCACTTGCCTCGCCACTGGACCACTTGCCCACTTGCCTACCTTCTAGAAGGTCTACAGCTAAGCTTCTGGAACTCACTAAGACTTCTACGCTATAGACGTACAGATCGAACCCCTGCTGCCTATGGACCTACGACAGACCTACCAACTGTCTACGAATACACAGGTCACAGGTTCAACTCTCGGGGTCTACACAGATACTGTACATGGGTAGGGTGAGGTCTAGGGATCAAAATCTGGTACTGCATCCACTACTGCTAAAAGGTTAAAACCGTTTCACTCCCCTGCTCCTTTGAGATTTAATGAGTGTATTAAGGCAAAACCTCAGCCAGATACTCTTCATTGTTTCAACCAGGTCTGGTGAGTCACGCTGTTCCAGTGCAGTTGTAGACAGCACTCCCATGGCCATCACAGCACTCCCACTACTTGTGCTGACTGTTGTTCCGCATAGTCCTTCGAGCGCCGCGTGATAGTGTAGTTGGTGATTGGTGTAATTGGTGTACTTGGTGTAATTGATGAATCCCGTTCATGGGGGCTGCCAGGATGCCATAGTCCCTGAGCACAAAGGCGCTCTCTCCCCCAATCAAGGAGGAGGTGGGGCTATGTCACTTTTCTCCGGGCATCAACCATAGCCCGGAGACCTAGCAGGGCAGGTGAGGCTATGAGTATAGCGTGGTTTCAGCGTAGTGCCTCTCCATACTCAGCCGCAGACTGGAGGTGTAAGTGGAGGGATCGCTTGTTGTGAGTCAGGTCCGTCTTGGACCACCCTGTCTGCGACACTCCTTATTTTAAATTTCCTTTTGTTGCATTAGACAGTGTTAAACCACCAGTACCATTCCCAGCTTTCAAGTCCGACCCTCCGGCTACTGGGATGCCGAGCCTTGATGAGCCTCAAGCTACCGGAGGCTACCGGAAGCAGGAAAAATGTCATTTCTAAAAACAAAAAAAAGAAGAAAAAAAATGAATAAATGAAAATAAAAATTACGAACGAGATTCTAATAACAAAAACAAAAAAAAACGAAAAAGGAAAACAGCCAAATGAAACGCTAGAGACATTTATCTGCTTTGAGAAAAAAAGAAAAAGAAAGGGGAGAGAGAGAGAGAGAGAGAGAGAGAGAGAGAGAGAGAGAGAGAGAGAGAGAGAGAGAGAGAGAGAGAGAGAGAGAGAGAGAAAGGGGAGAGAGAGAGAGAGAGAGAGAGAGAGAGAGAGAGAGAGAGAGAGAGAGAGAGAGAGAGAGAGAGAGAGAGAGAGAGAGAGAGAGAGTTTGCCCCGCCGCCCTGTCCGGAGAGCCCCGGCGAACTCGCCGGGCAGATTCTCTATCTCTCTCTGCGGCCGGTGCGTTTCGAATGCACGAACAAGGAATGAATCTTCCCGTAGGCACAAGAAGATTCATTCCCAGTTTGCACATTCGTCTCTCTCTCTCTCTCTCTCTCTCTCTCTCTCTCTCTCTCTCTCTCTCTCTCTCTCTCTCTCTGTATTATTTTTTTAAGAAAACAACCGGGAACCGGGCCCGGCATCCCTTATATTTCAGTGGCAGGAATCAGGCTTGACATCCCTTACAAAAAAAATTCCGCGGTCTTGATTTAGGGCGAGAAATCACCGGTCAAGCCCAAAAACTGGACCGCTACACACCACAAACCCTATCCACAAAAATACCACCGAAGAAAGCAAATCAACCAATGTCTCTCTCTCTCTCTATATATATATATATGTATTATATTTCTCTGTTATGAACTTGGTTGTCTGACGATTTTTACCGCCACTCACACATAGACAGTCTCATAC